CCTTTCTTTGCTTCTCTCTTGATCACCATCCAGCCATCCCTCCCCCAAACAAGGGACAACACCAACAACATCAGCAGAGGAGGATGGATGTGAATGACGGCAGCGACGGGGACGACGCCGTGGTGGTGGTGGTGATGGCGACGCGCGGAACGCAAGTGTGTGAGAAATGCGTGGGCGCATCCAGCTCCAGCTCGTGCTCGTGCGGACGGCAGGTGGTTGACACGGTGGCGTGGACGCTGGCCGCGCGCAACGCAGCCGGGGACATCGTCGCCTTTGCCGCAAAGCTGACCGAGGAGACGGCCGTGCTTGCCGCAAAGGGCATCGCCAACGTCGGCGTCAACACGACCATAGGCGGCATTGTCGGCGGCGTGAGTGGTGCCGTGTCCGGCGCTGTGACTGGCTTGTTCTGGACAGCGCTGTCGGCGGTGCGGGTGGGCGTGGGCGCCTCCGTGTCCCTCGTGTCATATCTGGCAAAGAAAGGGATCCAGGTTGCCCGCGGGCCCAACGGCTCCAGCGTGCTCACGCTGCCTGGCGAAACGGCAGAGTCGCTCGTGTCCGAGGTACACCTGCTGCACGTGGACGAGGCCACTTACAGAACAGGCGGCAGCGCTCACGATGATGACGATGATGATGACGATGACGATGACGATGACGATGACGATGTGAGGGATGAGAGGGAGGAGCAGGATGCGAGGGAGGATGGGGACGAAGAAAGTGAGGAGACGGGAGGGGTACTTCCTGGGAGCACGGCCGCGAAGACGACACAGGAGGACGACATGAAGGGCGTTCGAAGAAGGAAGCGGAGGAAGCGGACCAGAGAAGTTGGATGCCAGACGGAGATGCTGGGATGGAAACCGAAAGCAGAGAATCCGCAGTCATACATCACCTTCCTCCAAGTACCACGCGGTCAAATGCAGGTGAAGATGGGCGACATGCAGCCGTTGGGGGACAGAACCCGCATTGCGCGCGACCCATCGCCAGTCAAGGCCGCAGTGACGGCGACAACGGCAGCATCATCATCAACAGCTACGGCAACAGCGGCCGATGCAAGGGCAGCGAGGACAGCGTCCGCACCATTCATGGCATCAACAGCAGCGCCGGTGGCTGGCACAGCTGCACGAACACCAACTGCACGAACACCAACTGCACCATCAACACCGTCAGCATCAGCACCAACTGCGCCACCACCACCGTCATCGTCGTCGCATTTGCGGCACCGTACGCCTGTGGGGACGGCATCTGCCCCGCCAGCGGCGCACCTGTCCCGCGCATCAGCGCCCCCTGCTGCTGTTGGTGCCCATCGCAGCAGCAGTAGCAATACCGGTGCTCACAGACAGCAACATCAACATCGACAACAACAACAACAACAACAACACCAACAGCAGCAACATCAAAGACACCAACACCAACGACACCACCAGCAAGAGACCCATGCGGCACCGCCGGGAGGTGTTGGTGTCGCGAGCGCTCCTCCAATGGGAAACCCGTGAGCACAACGTGGACGGGGTGCAGAGGTGGCACTAACATGCGTTTGTTGTCCATGTGTTCCGTACTGGTGGCGCGGATAGCACGCTGCTTGCCTTGCACGCTGCTTACCGTTGATTCTTTCCGTTGCTTGTTTGTGTTGTCTCCAACGTGAATTGGATGTTGCCTTCGCACAAGGAAGAGCTGTATGTCGAGGTGTTTACGTTCTTATTTCATTCCTTTATGACCTCTTACACGCTGATCATGTGACTGTAACAGATGCGCTTCACATTGTGGGCAATAAATAACACAGCAATCAAGGCTACTCTATCTCATACACACACGGACACACACACACACACACGGACACACACACACACACACACACGGACACACACACACGTGCGCGCGCATGCGCGTGCAATCATGACTGTGATCTTGTATCTTCGGCAGAACTTGTCGTTGATTCCTTTGATGCTGCACTCACAGCGCGCGATGGTGGTAGTTTCTTTGCACTCGCAACCTGACAGCGAAGAACAGCCGCCCTTCCAACGACCATGCTGTACAGACACACCACCAACTCAGCCTCATGCATAAACTGCACACACACACACACACACACACACACACACACACACACAGACCGACAAGGTGAGGTTGTTGTAGACGATGATAAAAATCAAAGATATGATGCAATGACAGCAGCATCATCAGCAACAGTATCAGCAGCGATGTCGAGGCATTACTCACGGTTGACATGTTGAGTTCATGCAAATGCTTCATAATGAAAGACGGGAAGCGGATCGGCTGCGCGCTGCCCTGCTCGCATGCACGCGGGTGTGCGAGATGTATGAGCTTTACGCCATTGGCAGGAGCGAAAGCATCGATGGTGGAGCCACATGTGCTCATCAATGTATGTGCATTTAAGTGCAGGTGTGCGCGCGAACGCGCTATGAGTGCTTTGCATGTGCGAAATGTCTTCGCACATGTGTTGGCACGAGACACGCAAATGCCCGGCACTTGTGACGCACATTGTGAAGACGGCAGACGTAGGCATGCTTTCCTGCGTGAACGAGAACATCTGGCAAGTCATCACCGTCCTGCTTGAGGAGGTGGACACCTTGTCCACTGTCCCACGTGTTGATGCAGAAGTTGTACGTCTCCTTGTCAACAGGAATCGTGCACATGCGGTACAACACCTGTTTGAGAGGTCCACGCAGACTCACGACCATGGTGGTGAGAGCACGCCACCAAGCAGAACAACACGGAAAAAGAACCGCCGCTGTTTCGCTCTTGCGATGGACAGACAGATAGGCAGGCAGACAGGCATACAGACAGCAAGACAGACACATACAATCACTCACACATACGCACACGGCCACGTGAACAAACTCACGTCCTGTTCCAGATCCATCATGAAGACAACAATCTCGCTTGGCAACTGAAAGCATTCGGAAAACAGGGCAGCAATCACAACCCGTTCTGCAGAGGAGATCATGCACGCATGTGGGTCAGTCAAGAAGAAGAAGGAGACGCGTATATACCACACACAATGACGCAGACACACGCACACACGCACACGCACATGCCACAACGCAACACACACACACACACGCACACGCACACGCACACACGCACACGCAGAGACAGAGCCTCAATCAGTTGGTGCGTATGCATGTGCAGACAGCTTGTGGTGCGCGCACTTCGGCAATTCGTGACGACGGTGCCGATGATTTTGTTGCAGATGACGTTTTGCTGAGAAAACTGCTGCGTCTGGAACTTGATGAGGGTCCTGATGCATGCACGTCGCATTACGTGACATGATCAGTTGAAACGTTTGAATGGGAACGAGGCCAGCCAGATGAACCAGAAAATAAAGGAGAAGCTGGACGGACAAAACGGCCATTCAGCAGCACACACACACACACACACACACACACACACACACACACACACACACACACACACACACACACGCACGCACACACACACACACACACACACAAACACACACACACCAAACACACACAACAACGACAACAGCACATTCAGCCGACGCACTTGTTCTTGAAGGTTAGGAGGGCGCAGGTGAAGTCGCCCTGCTGGACATTCGCTGGCCGAAATGTCCTCGTGATGGTACTGCCGTGGGTCTGCAATGAACCAAGCACAGGGCGACAACAGCGATTCAACAACAGCAGCAGCATCGTTCACTGAAACAGCAACAACTTTAACAAAGAACAACAGAAACAAAGAATAGCAGCAACGAGAACGAGAATAGGAGCAAGAACAACATCCACCATCACAACTGCCCAACCTCCTCAATCCAGGGCTCGTCGGGCATGTTCATGGCTGCAAACTGCTCAAGTGCGCGCTGGCGCCGCGTGGCGGTCTGGTTACGCTTGCTCCCACGCCGCGACTGCATGGGATAAGGCAAAGAGGCGATAAACGCCATGGCACAGCATGACAAACAACATCAGGTCGCAACCTTTTCAGGAAGCAAAGTGGACGAGCACGCAGGTTGGAAGGAAATGCAGGCGTTTGCGTTGGCACAGCAGCAAGCAGACAGGCACACGGATGCAACAAACTGACGTCGGAAAACTTTGTGACTGGTTTGGATTTTGGCCAGGCCTGTAGCCGACACAGTTGCAAACTCAACTCTTTGCTTGGTCGCACCCTGAATTGAAAGAGGAGAGAAATGCAGCGAGTGGGACTGACAGTTACCCAGCATCATCACCAGCTTCGAACAAAGACAAAGACAAAGAAGGCAAAGACGATCGCACGCGCACACGAGCGGACGCAAGCAAGCAAGACCACACACGCACACGAGCGGACGCAAGCAAGCAAGACGTCACACGCACACGAGCGGACGCAAGCAAGCAAGACGTCACACGCACACACACACACACACACACACACACACACACACACACACACACAGAACACACGCATGCACACACACACATACCATCCAAATCCTGTCAGAAACTCCTCATCCAGTTGCCACATGCAGAGATGGGCGACGCGATCAAGGGTGACCAGCCCGCGCAGACCCCAGTGGTAGTGCATCACATCGTGACGGTGCGCTGACGGGCAGCATGCAGCATGTGTACAACAATCGCGGCGCGAGAGACATGAGTGTGGGGGTTATGATACGACTGTGCAGCCACTTCAAGCAACTGCATGATGTCTGTCAATACTGTAACGTCAACGTTCCACATTTACACACATGTACACACGCGTATTGGCACCATCACCACTCCACCACCACCACCACCACCACTGTTTGTCACGTGCAATTGACCTCGGCACAGGTGGTTTGCCAACTGTCGACTGCCGCGAGTGCGGGAAAGCGTCCCGTAGCGCGAGGGATTTACGCTTTGTCGGTTGCCTTGTTGCTGTTGCTGTTGCTGCTGCATGGTGCTGGTTGCCTTTCGACTGCCGAGCGGGCCCCCAACAGTGCTGGTGCGCGTGGTCTTCAAGCCTGTCGTGCTGATGGAGATGCTGCTTCGTCGTGGCATGCGTGTTAGCCTCTCAGCACCATCCCCGCCGGTGTTCTCACGACCACCATCATCGCCACGGTTGGTCTGCTCTCCCCCATCACCTCCACCATCACCATCATCGCGGACACCACTGCCATTATTCGAGTTGCTCTGCGCTGCTGCTGCTGTTCGTCTCCGCGTCCCGCTGGTGCTGCGGCTCGCTGGTGTTGTCGGGGCAGGAGTTATGGGCGATGTCAGGGAGGGCAATGCAATGGGCAGCATGTCACCGTTGGCAAACATGACAAGCGCGTGTGTTTGATCGCCCAGGAGTGAAAACGACGGAAGGAAATGGCAGCGAATCGGCATCAGCGTCAGGCCGTCGAAGCTGCTCGCACACATGGGCAAACACGATCACGGTGGTGGTGCGTGAACAAACGATAAGGCAAGAAGTATGTGTGTGTGTATGTGCGTGTGTGTATTTGTTAAACCATGACAGTTGCGCACGGCATGGTCACAATTCAAATGACCGATTACATGAGCACAGTCACTGCCACAACCACCACAAACATCACCACAACCACAGCCACCGCAAACAAATACCACCATTAATCAGTAGCGACCTGGTTGGCAGTTTCATCATCTGCGCAATGGTGATGGCAACACACGAGCGGGTGTGTGCGGTTGTGTTGAACGTCCTGTTTCGGTTTCGACAGGCAAGAGTTCGCAAAGGGGGTGGAGGGAGGAGGTGCGAGAGGAACAGTGTGAAGTGACGTCATGAGATCACACAAGAACAGAAAGGCGATGTAAACAAGTGCGGCATGGCACGCGGCTGTCCATTGTACAAACCACCCACCAGAGGCTGAGCGAAGAATCATCGTGCAGCACAAGAAACGACTGCTCATTCTGTAAACGCACACACACACACACACACGCACATCCATGTGTACGTGTGTGTGTGTACGTACGTACAGATGTTGGGTGAGTACACACAACACAACCCTGCCCCTAGTCATGCTCAACAACCTAGCAACCGTGACTGTTGTATGTGGGAGTCTGGGCATCAGTTGTGAGCACACGAGGCCGACAAGGTCTCACCTCTGCCCAGGACACGAAAATCGGCTTTGCGTGCACGGGGTCGTGGGTGAGGGTGTGGCCGAATTTGCCGCCGTCAAAGCGAATGACCACCAGGTCACGCTGATGAAGGAGAAGGGGGGAGGGGGGGGGAGATGTGCGTGGATACAATGGGGAGCGAGGGGGTGGGGGGGGGGAGCAGGGGTGAACCACTGAGACAAATCCACCATGACGCACACATGCTGACTCCAACATAGGAACTGCAAACAAAATATCAAAAACAAATAACCAAGGCAGCAAACGCAACAAGCAAAGTGGCAGTTGGCAGAACAGCATCAACTGCACACGAAACTTTGTTTCTCTCTCTACCTGGGACAACAGGCATGCAAACTTTCGAGACGGCGAGAAGGTCACGTCGAGCGATTGCGCAAACGCCGCCCGCCACTCCCTCGACGGATCTCTCGTCCAGTTTGGCGCCAGCGGCTGTTGAGGATGCAGCAACGGAGAGGCAGGCGCACTCAGTGCACGTGTGAAAATCAAGTGTGTGCGCATTTGTCTCCTGCCACGTGTTTTCTGGCACATTTACGGCGGAGACCAAGCGTGCGTTGTAACTATGTGTGGTGGTGGGTGACATTACTCCGAGCAACTGACCAGGACATTTGTTGGTGAAGTTGTAGTGGATGCCGGCGACGAGGGGGCGCCTGCATATCTGCTTGATGGCCATGACCGCCAAAGGAGAACAAGTGTGAATTTACACATGCCCATGAGAGAGCGCGGTAGGTCATTCATGTCGAGCATGTTTGGCAGAGTAGTTCAACAGACAGGGAAGAGAAATACAAGACACGCTGCAAAGGCTGGAGGGCGTTGTGGAGCAGACAAAGTGACCGGAAGCATTGGGGCCTGCACACACCGTGCCCTACATACACACGCGTGTACGTACGTGTATTCGACTGGGTAGAGGCCGTCTTGACTGGCCTGCACAAACTCGCTATCCTCCAGCGCCTCCACATCGTCCTCTGTGTCGCTCTTCGCCGCCGGATGCAGCGTCACCGTCTTCTTCTTCTTTGTCGCCGCAGTCGTATCGGCACGGCGGCGGAACTGACGGAGCACACGCACACACACACACAGACACACACAGACACGCAAACACACACACACACACACACACACACACACACACACAGACACGCAAACACACACACACACACAGACACGCAAACACACACACACACACAGAGACACGCAAACACACACACACACACAGACGTACGCACACACAAGGGAAGGTTGGTGAGCAAGACAAGGCGTTGTACAAAGCAAAAGCAGACATATTGTCGTGGAGGGTGGTGCCACGTCTGTTCTTGTACAGCAGAACATGGTGTTGACGCACCGCGACGGACTGGGAGTGCTTGATGCAGTAGAAGGAGCGGGAGCGCGCTTTGAGCATTGCATCGATGACTTGGTCCAGCCGGTTGCTGCGTGGCTCGGCCTACATTGGAATGTATGAGCGTACGCGCGCGCGCGTGTGTGTGTGTCAAGTTGGAGAAACGCAAGCAGCAAGGCACGGAAATACACATGTGCAGCCACACCCCGCAGATGGACAGATAGATAGGCAGACAGATAGGCAATCAAACGCACACACGCATGCACAAGTACGCACACGCACAAGTACACACACACAAGTACACACACAAGTACACACACACGCACACACACACACACAAGTACACACACATACATACACACACACAAGTACACGTACACAAACATGCACAGCGCACAGCACAAGGATGTCAGCGTCTCAGCAGCGGCAGGGGGCGTACAGGGGCTGTGCTTGGGGCGGAGGCGACGGAGGAGCGCATGAGTACACGGACTTGCGTGTGCACGAAATCGCGCAGTGCTATCAACTCGCCCGCCACTGACCGGCACGCCTCGGAGATGACCTCTTCCTCAAGCTCTTTCGCCAGCCACTGGACGACAGGCGCAGTACATGCGTGCGTGAATGTGCAGGTGGCGTTCATTGGAAGAGGACATGTGAGCAGCGTGAGAGCCATTGTCGCGGTCCTGCGTGTGATTACCAGCAAGGGAATAGAGCCATGAAGGTCTCGCTTCACAAAATATATCGTTTGCATACCCAAGAGACTTTGAGGTGTTGTGCAGCGGCAATGGCGGAATCGTAGTTTGCGTTGACGTCTGGGGGAATGTCCAGCACTGCACGCACAACCGGCAGGTACAGCGACAGACAAGCCAAGCAGGTGAGAGACGGCACACACACACACACACACACGCACACACACACACACACACGCACGCACGCACACAAGCTGAGTGTGTGTGATGTGATGCAGCCGACTGTCAAGTGCAGCGCACCTTTGGTGTCAAGCAGGTCATCCAGCAGCGATGTGACGATGCTGCGCACGAAATCGTATGTGGGCCGCTGCCACTTTGGGTACGCGGCCCGAGACATGTTTGGCAGGGATGGTCGCTGGTGCCTATACGTTGTTCATTGGTGGGTGGAAAGCACGCATCACAGCATCACTTGTCAAAGGTCCTGGAGTTGCGAACGTGTCATCACACACAAGATCGACAAAACACACGCACACACACACACACACACACACACACACACACACACACACACACACACACACACACACACACACGTGTGCAAACACACGCACACAGACAAAAATAAAAACAAACAAAACCACACACATACACGTGCATGAGACTGACAAGCGATCGAGTGCGTGCTTCTTTGCACGAATATGCTCCAGACGCAGCTCCTGCGCCGGCAACAGGGTGCGTTTGCTGGATGTCACAAGAGTGGTAGATGAAGGTGTTGTGAGTGGGTGAACATCAACGTAAATTTGTATGTACGTACATGGCATGTGCGTTTCTTGTGTAGGAGCGCGTGTTCGTGATGTTGTGCCTGTGCGTTGCACACTTTGCGTACAGCACCTGGCCAAGAGGATGGGTGTCGGTCGGCTCCATGTGATGCGGAGCGCGGCCGCGGACGACGGATCAACCAGGCCTTGCTCTGCGAGCTGACGGCGCTTGGCGCGGATGGCGTCCAGCTGTCGGTCAACCTCTTTGATGCGGGCGGAGAGTTGGTTTGTGTCATCGCAGCGCAGCGCAGCCAGCCGCTCCATCTGCGTTGAGCGGTCAAGATCAACAAAAGCACAGCACAGCACGCGCAACGGCACAAGTGGTTGGGTGAGATGGGCAGTGGTAAGGGGAGGGCGTGTAGCAAATTGATAAGCACACCATACAACAGCGGACTGCAACAGCGGCATACATGGGTTGCACGGCGTCTGGTGGTGGATGACGCTGTAGAAATGGAGTCGCTGCGCGCCGACAAGGCCGACATCTGGCGGCTCCCTCCACCTACGACCAGCGCATCATTCCCCGTCACAGAGACCATCTTATGTGCGTGTGTACGTGTGTGCGTGTACACGTGTGTGTTTGTGTACATACATATGTGTGCATGTGTGATGAGAGGTGCATAGAAGTGAGTGCGCGATGCTTGTGATGCGGTTGCACAGCTGCTACTTCAACGCAACAAGCAAGAAAAAGCACAGGCGAGCGACACCAGTGCGTGTGTGTGTGTGTGCGCGTGTGTTGGTTCGACATCAAGTGAAGAAGAGGCCGCACCTCTTCGTTGCAGGCGTCGATTGCAGCGTCCAGGTTTGCCAGCTGCTGTTGCAGTCGCGACACCTCTGCCTCTGCAGAGAGCAGCGCTTCCAGCGCCTCGCCACCTTGCATCTTGAAAACAAGTTGAAGGGAAGCGAAGGGAGGGGAGGCGAGGGGAAGGGAGGAAGGAGGACAAGTGATGATGAACAGACAACAGCAAAACCACACACAGTTGCGGTTGCCAGCTTATCCCAACACCACAAAGTGCGTTTGTTTTGGTTCTCGTGACGCAGTGCGTTGTGCAGTGTGCAGTGTCGTTCGTGCTTTGTTGTTGCATTAGTTTTTCGATCGCCACCCCCACAACAACACACCCCTTTCCAGCCTGATTGTCTCCATCTTTACTCAAGCGCCTGCTCTCACCATGTCGATGCCGAAAGGACTGGCCAACGCAGTGGCCAACAAGGCTTCCGAAGGCTCTGGCCTGCGCTCGCAACAAGGTGATGGCTGGATCCAGACGCAGACCAGCACATTCACCAACTGGGTGAACGTGCAGCTTGAGAAGGGCGGCTACCCGCAAGCTCCGGACGATGGTGTCGTGGACTTTATCAAGAACGGCGTCGCCCTCATCCAAGCAGTATGTTGTTTAAGTTGTTGTTGTTGTTTAAGTTGTTGTTTAAGTTGTTGTTGCTGTTGTTGTTGTTGTTGTTGTTGTTTAAGTTGTTGTTGTTGTTTAAGTTGTTGTTGTTTAAGTTGTTGTTGTTGTTGTTGTTTAAGTTGTTGTTGTTGTTGTTGTTTAAGTTGTTGTTTAAGTTGTTGTTGTTGTTGTTGTTGTTGTTGTTGTTGTTGTTGTTGTTGTTGTTGTTGTTGTTGTTGTTGTTGTTGTTGTTGTTGTTGTTTAAGTTGTTGTTGTTGTTTAAGTTATTGTTGTTGAAGTTGTTGAAGTTGTTGAAGTTGTTGTTGTTGTTTCAGTTGTTGTTGGGGGTGTTGTTGTTGTTGGTGTTGTTGTCGCTTGTCATGCCTCTGGGTGGCGGCGTTGATGCTTCGTTGGCGTAGTTACCCTATCGTGACGTTTACTTGCTCTGTTGCCTACCTTGCTCTGTTCAGCTCGTTGTTGTGTGTGCTGTTGTTCTGCTCTTACTTCGGGCGTTTCTTGCGACCGCTGTGCGTGTCGACCGACGCCCCCCGAGAGGCTCTGCATCCATCGTTCTGTTCAACACGACTAACTTTGTGACGCCTACACTGTTGTGACAGCTCGAAGTTGCCTCTGGAAAGAAGTTCAAGCGCTACAACAAGAACCCAAAGCTTCGCGTGCATGAGATTGAGAATGTCAACCATGCCCTGGACTTCATCAAGGAGGAAGGCCTCACGTATGTACAACGCAGCCGCTCAGCTCAACACACACAACACGCACACAACACACACACACACACACACACACACATACTCAGTAGGCGCTCGTGCACCACGATGTCGCTTCCTTTCTCAAATCCCCCGCGGTCTCACTGCTGTTCACGTTGCATGCAGTGTGGTGAACATTGGATCTGAGGACGTGGTGGATGGCAACACCAAGCTCGTGCTCGGCCTCATCTGGACCATCATCTACCACTACCAAATTGCCGCCGCCTTCAAGAACGCGCCCTCTGCCAACGCCAAGAAGAACAGCGCAAAGGACATCCTCCTTGAGGTGCGCGTGCGCGTGTGTGTTTCGCACCACCGCCGTGTGTTTGGGGTGCTTCCCTATCATCATTGAACGCATTCAGCCACCTATTGCTTGCTGTTCCATTTTGAGTGTTACAACCATTCCTCACACATCATCCCCATCAACCTCGTCATCACACACACACACACACACACACACACACACACACACTTGTCCCTCATCCCCTCCTCTCACGCACTTGCACACGCTGGCTGCAGTGGGTCAACTCGCAAATCCCCGAGTACAAGATCTCCAACTTCAACAAGGACTGGAGCGATGGCCGCGCCCTCTGCGCCCTCGTCAACAAGATTGGTCAGTCATGCAGTGCATGGTGTTGCGGTTGCGTGTGTGCGTGTGCCTACGCCCAATAACACCACCTGGCTTCACCTTTCTCCCCATCAGGTGGCGAGCCCTGGCTCATCCCCAACCACCGCGAAATGCACACGGAGAGCGCAAAGCGCAATGCGCAGGTTGCCATTGACACCGCAAACGAGCACCTGGCCATCCCAAAGGTACCGCCGTGCACTGCTTGTTGCCGCCTCGTTTGCATTTGTGTCACTTTTGAGTTGCACGACAATCTTTGTTGTGCAATCTCTTGTTGGCTTTACGAAGTCAGTGATCATGGCTCTCACGGCCGCAATGGCCCTACTTGCCTGAACCAACCAGCCGACCAACCAACCAATCAACCAACCAAATCACCAACCAACCAACCAACCAACCAATCAGCCACCATCCCAATAACCTCCCTCGCCCCTCCCCACTTTTCGTACCCCCGCAGGTGCTGGAGGCTGAGGACCTGGTCAACCCTGCCCTGGACGACCTGTCGATGATGACATATGTCTCCTACTTCAAGACGGCCAAGCGCGTGCAGCCCGATGGCAAGATTGCTGCCGAGTCTGAGCCCGAGCCCGAGAAGGAGGCGGAAGAGGAGGAGACGAAGGAGGTCGAAAAGGCAGCGCCTGCCGATGACTCTTCCTCCGCTGGCCTCCCGCCCCCATGGGAGCGCAGCCCGGACTGGCGCGCGTACGAGGTGGGTGTCGTATGTGTATGCGTGTGTGTGTGTGTGCATGTGTGTGCATGTGTGCATGTGTGATGTGTGCATGTGCGTTTGCGTGTGCGTTTGCGTTTGCGTTTGCACGTGCCTGCATTGAAGGTTGCATGCATCCAATATTGGTTGCCATCTCCTCATATTGTTTCCATGACACACATCAACTGTTCTATCCATCGTATTCACCCTCAACCAACCCACTCTCACCACCACCACCACCTCGACTACACGATCACCACCACGACGCCGTCATCAGGGCGCTGACCTTGGCGGCCGCTGCAAGATCCGCGTGTACTCGTCCACGACCACATCCAGCGCCGTCACCCGCAAGAACAACGAGGAGATGATGCGCCTGTTTGAGCGCATGGGCGTGCACAACCGCCCCGACTTTGAGCCGTGGGTGATGGTGGATCTCATGGACAAGGCGGACCGCGACAAGGTCTTTGAGAAGGCCGGCACGCGCCAGCTGCCAATGCTGTTTGTGGATGACGAGTACATTGGCGGTTACGATCGCGTCATGGAGCTCAATGAAACCAACGAGCTGGAGAAAATCCTCCAGTACTGAACTCGCACACGTACGTACACACGCGTGCGCACACACGCACATTCGTGCCTTTGTGTTATGATTCTGCTTTTCGTCGTGTTTTTCTTTGTGTCCTGTGCGCTTCGAGGTTGGTTTTGCCGCCTTTTTGCGTGTGGAATGCATCCATCGATCATGCGACACGCAAGTGAACATGTGTCTGTCTCTGGCTGTCTGTCTTTGTCTGTCTGCCTGTCACTGTTCATCTTTTGTCTCTGTCTCTGCCTCTGTCTCCCCCTCTCTGCTTCTCTCCCGCTTTCTCAATGTTTCTCTTGACCTTCAGTCCATGCGGTACACTTTCGTGTTTTGTATGTTTAGTGCAGCGACTTGCGGCCATATCAAATTCAAGCAGTGAAGAAGGCATGGAAAGGAGAGAGCTTGCGAGGTGTGTCTGATCTTGGATCCGACGATGCACAGAAGAAAAGGTGGTGAACGACACATGGCTTGGGCAACGCCAAGTGGACGGTCGTGAGAACAAAGGAAGACAGTCAAACAACAGAAAGCGGTAAGAAACCAGCCAGTAAGCGACGAGTAGAAATTAAAAGACTGCAATAGCACATGCACATACACAACATGAAAATGTATATTGTGCATGACAGAGCTCTGAAAAGGGCCACAAGAAAACCAACCATCGGCCAACACAGACAGACACACACAGACACACACACACACACTTTGTTAAAGCACATAGACAAAGCTTCGGAACACGGCACTGAGTGTGTGCACCACGCCTAACATAACCTGTGAAACAGCCTGGCTTGTCACACGTGTGTGGAATGCGTTGGTTGAGGGATGGGCTCAACCGTCAAGTAGCCGCCGTCATCGTCATCATCACCGCCACCGCCATTGCCCGGTACCACCAGCGGTGCTTGTCGGAGCATGTCGTTCTCTGCTGCCCACTGAGGGTTCCACTGGTGGGCTCCCGGCTGCGCGGCGCCAAAACTGCTCTTGCTGTCTGTGCGGCTGGTGAGCGTGACGGGCGAGCTGATGGCTGCATCGCCCGTGTGCGATGTCTGGCGTGCGCGCCGCAGGAACAGCATCACCACCACCAGCATCAGGAACGCAACCACGCACACCACGACAATGAGTATGTTTGTGGTTGCCTCGTTGCCCGAGCTTGACGCACTGCTGAGAGCGCGCGTGTCCCGCCGGGCCTGATCTTCCGTGGTGCAGCGGAACGGCGCTGCCTCGCTCACATACGTCCGGCGCGCATCGCCGAGCTGTGCGCACGATGTCACGCAGCGGGCTGGCAGGAACGTTGCGCTCTGCCGCGTGTCGTTGTAGAAGGGCTGGTCGCCAGGGCATGCCGCAAGGCAGGCGTCGCCAGCAAGGAACGGAAACCCCGTGGAGCATTGCACCACGCATGCGCCATCCTCCTCCTTGTTGCGGCACCGCACACACGCCGACGCGTCGCCCGGTCGCTCGCACCCATCGATGCACTCGTCATGGCACCGCCCGCACACGCCCGCTTCGGAAGGAGCGCTGCCGTCCGGGCATGCGGACACACATCGCCCTTCGTTCTCCACATTGGCACACGCCACGCAATCAAAGGCAGTGACACCTGTGCAGCCGCCTGCGCACTGGGTGTGGCACAGGTTGCACGCGCCGTCAACGGGTGTGGTGTCACTGAACGTGCCGACGGGGCACGCGACGAGACACACGGGGGTCTGGGGGTCGCTGAGATCTGTGACAGCGAGGCAGCCAGCATCGCAGTCTGCTGCGGTGGGGCCGGAGCACAGCCCGTCGCGGCACAGCGGGTTGCAGTCGTCGCATTCCCCAGAGGCGGTGAGATGGGAGCCGCGGCGACACGACGTGCAGTCCATTTCGCCCGCACCGCTGCACGCTGCACATGAGCGGTGACAAGCAGCGCACTCCCTGTTGTTGTCAGCGAAGAACCCGGCTGGACACGCGGACACGCATGCGCCCTCATGCCGCACGTTTGCACACGGGTTGGCCATCACTGGCTGCCCATCCGCAGGCAAGCAGTCGAACGCCGTTGGGCCAGAGCAGCGGGCGCTTTGCGAGCACTGTGCATTACATACTGCGCACGTGCCAGACGTACTCAGGAACGTGGAGGTTGGGCACTCGAGCACACACACGCCACCGTAGCGCGCAGTCGCACATGCCGCGCAGTCCGAGGCATCAGGTCCCGTGCAGCCATCGCACGCGTCGTGGCAGGGTGTGCACGTGCTCGTGTCAGCATCAGCAAAAAAGCCGTGAGGACAGGCAGCGCGACACGCGGTCGTTGTGGATGCGGAGGTCACCGTGGTCCCCGTGCTGGCAGTGCTGGTGCTGGTGCTACCGTTGTTCTCTTGACCAGTTTGCAGTGCGCTGGTCGGCACAAGAACGCCCGCGCATTCCGTGCAATCATCTGGGGATGGCCCGCTGCACCCCTGCACCACGGTACTGCACAGGGAGTGGCAGGGGCGACAAATGCCATCCTCGTCGGCGTACTCCCACGCGAAGCATTCATTCCTGCACACGCCATCTGAGCCCAACACGCCCGCACACGAGATGCAGTCGGCAGCACCGGGCCCGCGGCAGCCGCCGCTGCACTGCTCGCTGCACGGCCAGCACGTGCTGTCTTGCAAGTACGTTCCATTTGGGCAGGAGGACACGCAGCGGCCGTCGGCGACAACACCGCGACAGGCGGCGCAGTCGGCGTTGGAGGGCCCGAAGCAGCCGTCACACATGGCGTTGCACGGCATGCAGTACTCGGGGGCAGTCGTGCCAAAACCAACGGGTGCGGTGGGAGATGCGTACGCGTCGTGGGGGCAGGAGCTCACGCACGTGGACGTGGTTGTGTCTGCAAACGCCACGCAGCTGCCGCAGCTTGTTGATGAAGGGCCCGAGCAGGTGGCGCACGCCGCATCACACGTGCGGCACACGCGCGTGTCATCCTCGTACGTGCCATCTGGGCAGGTGTCAGCACACGTGACGTGCACAACGCCAGCCTGCGCCTGCACAATGGCAACAGCGCTGTCTGCACACGACAGGCACTGGTGGTCGCCCGGTCCCCAGCATGCGCCGTTGCACAGCGAGGAGCAAGGCCTGCACACGCCTTCATCGTCCGCGTATGTGTTGGACGGGCACGTCGCCACGCACTCGCCGTCTTGCAGGGAAAAGCGGCGGCAGGCGTTGTCGAGGCACTCACTCGCAGATGGACCCTGTACATACGAGAAAGAGGAAAGGAGACAAAGGGGGGGGGGGCAAGTGGGAAGGCAAGAGCGTCAATGGGAGAAGTTGAGTAATGAGAACATGTGTGCATGAGTGCGGGTGAGCGTTTTCATGTTTTGTAAGGGAGCCTAGTGTGGTAGATGTTGTGCGGAACATGAGGCAAGGCCGAGAGTGTGTGTATGTATGTGTGTGTGTGTGTATGTGTGTGTGTGTGTGTGTGTGTGTGTGTGTGTGTGTGGTGTGTGGTGCATTGCGCGAAACGAATATGCCTACCGTGCATCCAAGCTGGCACTCGGCGTGGCACGGTGCGCACACGCTGTCGGCGGTGCTGTACTCAAACGTGTCGCACGCATCGATGCATTCAACAGCGCCCGTGTTGAGCACACGCGAGAAAGTGCGGCAGGCGACACAATCAAACGCAGTGACGCCCGTGCAGCCATCAGCGCATTGGTGGTGGCACGGCTGACAGTCGCCGCCTGCAACAGATGTTGTGCCTGCTGGACAGTCGTTCATGCATGTGCCGTTCAAGGAGAAGCGCCTGCATGCGCGGCACTCCGATGCTGAAGGGCCCACGCATCCTACACAGCAGAAGTAGTGAACATGGACGGGGCGCACGAGCACCACATATAAGATCTGAGGGGTTTGCTTTGGAAGAATGGAGATGAAGAATATCTATCGATCCACAGGCGTCACACACGAAAGGATACACAGACACAGAAACACACGACACAGACAGACACACAGCCACACACACACACACACACAGACACAGAACACACACACACACAGACACAGAGACAGACACACACACACACAGACACAGAAGACAGACACAGGCACACAGAGACACGGAGCAACACAATGCAATTTGGTGCGCGTGTACCGCACCTCGAGAGTCACATTGGGAGTCGCACGCAATGCAACGCCGTTGGTCATCAACAAACGTGGCTGTGGGGCAGTTGGGCACACACGTGCCGTCAAGCTCCACATTGACGCAGGACATGCACGCAGACGGGCCTGAAGCGAGAATGCAAAGGCAAGGGGTTTGCGTCAGCAGAATGCGAGGCGGATGTGGAGCCGTGGGTACCCATAACGACGCAAACTCGTGGCCATGCAAGCACACAAGCACGCACACACAAGCACGCACACACCAGCACATACAACCATACAACACACACACACACACAGACGCACAGACACGACACACCTTGTCCGGTGCAGCCACCACTGCATTGCTGGTCACAGGGGCGACAGACGCCATCATCGCTCCAGTGGTTGGGCGGGCACGAGGCAACACAGGTGCCATCAGCGACGACGTTGCGGCAGGAGCGGCATGCAAAGCCGAGCAGTGCACCTGCGGCAGCACAGCCTTCGTCGCCACACTGCTCGTGGCACGGAGAGCACTGGCCTGGCTCTCCCGACTGGTAGAAGCCGACACCGCAGCGATCACAGGCGCGGCCGCTCACCCCTGGTTTGCACGGGCACTGCCCGCTCTCTGAGTCGCACACGCCGCTCTCGCTGCCAATGTCGCTGCACGCGCAGTCGAGGCAGCCATAGAAGAAGTCCCGCCCAAACCCAAACGATCCCGGCTCGCACGTGTCGCAAGCGCGGCCAACAACGCGCGGCTTACACACGCACGCGCCAGTGCGCACATCACACTGTGGGGAGACGGCGCCATCAACGTCACACGCGCAGTCAACACAGGAGGCAGTGAGGTTGGTGGTGGTGCGGTAGTGGTTCTCCGTGCACGCCTCGCACTCAATGCCCGTCTGTCAACACGATAAGTTGGTGGTGGAAGGCGAGAGGTCGAGAAAGGGCATGGGGTGGTTGGCAACGTTGTGTGAGCGCTGGTGGGTAATAGCTTTGCCACAGGGCTACAAACATGTGCAACAGGCGGCTGGCGACGTGAAGAGGGCTGATACTTTTGCAACAGACGGAGGAAGGGTGCGCAGCAGAAACAAAGCAAGACAACCCAGCAAAGAAGCAGACAAAGAATAAAAACAAAGCAGGCAAAGAAAAAAAGGCAGGCAAAGAAAAAAAGGCAGGCAAAGACACACACACACACACACACACACACACACACACACACACACACACACACACCGTGTTATCCTTGCATTCGATGCAGACGCCAACACCTTCGTCAGGCGTAAAGGCGCACGCATCAGCGTGGCTGTTGCAGTTGCACTCGGTGCATTCGTTGGCTGCGCTTGGCGTTCCCTGCATGAACGCGTGTTGGTTGAAGAGCGGCAGGCACTGGTCGCACGTTGCGCCCACAGTGTTGTGCTCGCAGTCACATGTGATGAACTCGGCCCCATCTTCATCCATGTTTGTCTGGCATGTGCTGGCGTGACCGTTGCAGAAGCAGCGCGACGACACCTGCGAAGAGGGACAGCGTGGCAGCGGATGAATGAGTGACGATGCATATCAATGAAGAGAATGATTGTGTGTGTGTGACGGAATTGGAAAAGAACAAATGGGGCAAAAGGCAAGAACAGAAAGGCGTGTCAACCAAACACACACACACACACACACACACACACACACACACACACACACACACACACACACACACACACATACACACACACACACACACACACACGTGTACGCACAGAGGCACATACACGCACCCGGATGGAAGTAATTTCGTAGAAGGGGATGTCAGGGAGCGGATTGCCAAACGGATCCTCGGCGGTGTCGGGCCCGTGATACTCAAGGAACGCAATGCGCAGGAACCTGTACACGTGTGCACACATATGCACGCCAACGGTGGACGTGCGCGGCCAACAACATGGTTGATTGGTCAGTGAACAGGGATGAGGTGACGGGACTGGAGCAAGCAACATCAAGGCAGATCGGATGCAGCAGTCGCGATTCAGAGCCACATCAACATACCGCGTGCGAACAAATGCTTGGAGCCGAGGGTTGTTGAAGAAGTCCCGGCTGGATCCTGTGTGACAGAAAGAAAGCAATGAGTGGTATTGGGGGGACACCGGATCAATGAGGCCAGATGCATCGGCGAGCAGGCAGATACGCAGGCAGGCAGGCAGATCGACAGATAGGCAGATAGGCAAACACACACACACACACACACACACACACACACACACACACACACACACACACACACACACACACGTTCACGCACACACATACGCACGCACGCGCAGACTTTGACGCACACATGCGCACGCACGCACATACATACACACTCTGCACCTGTTGGTGGCCTCTGAGGATCGAGGGGGTTGAACTGCAGGTCGTTGTCGCCGGCCGGGCTCGATCCCGTCGAAACACACACGGCTTCCTCGGTCACCTTGGGTGCCCTGTGACCACATAGCAACAAGCAGCAGCATACACACCACACACACACACACACACACCACACACACACACACACACACACACACACACACACACACACACACACACACTTGCTGGTGAATTCACTGCACTGCTCCATGACATCAGCGCCATCGTTCCTTGCATCAAACCTCACCACCACCACCACTTACAACATCCACCACCACCACCATCACAATGCCCATCACCACCCTGCCCAGCTGCCGTTTGCGCGCAAGTACGTCGGCGAGAAGACAAAAAGGTCTCGATGTGCGCACCGTTCGGCTCTTTGGCAGACAAATCCTCGGTGCGTGCCAGCGGTGGCGGTCGTGATAGATCTTGGTGTCTAGATGTCTGTGTCTTGTGTCTGTGGTGGTGTGGTGGTTTGCATGGTGTGTGCTGTGCACGCTGATCCATTCATGCTCTCTTTGCTG